TGCTGAGTTTCGTATGTTGAGTGTAGAGAACCGGTGACCCCTTTTTACTGGAAATGAGGCATTCCATCTTGGTCTGCCGGGTGGCAAAGCATTTGCATTTTATCCCTAATCGAGAATAGATGTAGATGTCTATGGGCCACAGCAACCATTTACCATCAGGTGGACTGTGTGCTACCTTATTTTGTAAAGTAAAATATTGTGAAATATTTAATACGGTAAATAATTCCACGCATTACTACCGGATTGGTTTTGATTTGATTGCTAATAAGTAAGCGTATTGCTCCCTTTGATGGTATTAAATAGGATAAGATAACAATAATACATCACTTGAGTAATGTTGAATATACCTATACATAAATAAAACCGGAGCTTTCCTTTAGTGTGTAAATTGCTCTTATAAAAGCACATTTGGATTAATTTTTTTTCAAAAATCTATGCTAGCAACGCTATCAACAATAATAGTGTTCTCGTAAAACATTTCAACTAAGCTGGAAATGATAGTGATAGGAGCCTTATCGTGACGGGGCATTGAGTAACGAAGGCTTAGTCACTCTAGATAAGAGTGTATTTTTGACGGCTCCGTGGCGCAGTGGCTTAGCAATGGGTGGCATCGCTGGGGGCCGCGGGTTCGAATCCCGCACGGAACAAGTATTTGTATGGCCTACAAATATTCGCTCCGGGTCTGGATGTTTGTCTTTATGCAATTTATGTTTGTAAACTGACTCCACGATACAGGAGAAAATACTAGTGTGTAACGTTAAAAAAAGAAAGAAAAAAAAGATGAACTGATTGGGAGAGGTGTCCTCTCCACCTCATAGCCGCGGTGTTACTATAATATATACTAAAATTAAATGTATTTTAAATTCATCTTTGTTAAAACTGTTTAAGTTGTTTTATATACATACGAGTTACTTCGTCCCCGCTTCCCCAAGCTCACTATACAAACTCAACAGCATTCATGTTGAGCCGATCCATTTGTACTACAACTATAATGTAGCTGTAGCATGGCTCTACTATATATAGTAAATGCTACAAAAAATTCATAACATACATAACATATCAATGTTTATGATAATGTAAACGAGTGTGTGATTGATACGGGAATGAGAATATCACTGTGAAGCTTCATAATAAATCTATTAGATATAATAAATCTGTAGAAAATTGTGTGTGCGGGAAGTAAATAATTGTATATAAAATATAGGTTACTTTTATCTGCTTACGGAGAATCAAAAAGAAGGGTTATGTTTTTCTTTTTTACAACTTTATTGTCATTATATTGATGATGATTCTATTAGACATAAAGACGATATAGATATACGTATAATAAGTAGTAGGTAGAAAAGTGTGTGGCCAGCTAGTTATTAAGAAAAAAAGTTAACACATTTTAACTGATATTTTGAACAAAGAAATATACCACCACCCGCCACAGCACAGTTAGCCACTGCTTTTTATAACGATATTTATAATTATATTTATATTGAGTCAAACTACTTTACGGATTTTATCGCGCTTAGTTTACTACTTTGGTTATTTAAGGCTTCCGTAACTCAATAGGGAATAAAAAACCGACCAAGAGCGTGTCGGGCCACGCTCAGTGTAGGGTTCCGTAGTTTCCCGTCCGTCACAATAAGTGTTCCCACTTATGAGTTTAAAGGTGGGTATCCATTATGTTCCCGCTCCAGCAGCGCTCCGCGCTCCTGCAACTGCTTCCGGTAGTGGGTACTGTTGTTTCCATCCAAGTTCAAAATGATTTTCCTAGAAAGTCCTTATAAAGTTCTACTTTTCAGATTTTTTCATATTTTCTAAACTTATGGTTCAAAAGTTAGAGAGGGGGGACACATTGTTTTTTTTACTTTTGGAGCGATTATTTCCGAAATTACATTATCAAAAAATGATTTTAGTAAACCCCTATTCATTTTTAAATACCTTTCCAACAATATATCACACGTTGGGGTTGAAATTAAAAAAAAAATCACTTCCCACTTTACATATAGGGGGGCTACCCTAATAAAACATTTTTTTCCAATTTTTATTTTACCAATTTGTCGGCGTGATTGATGATATTGGTACCAAATTTCAGCTCTCTAGTGCTAACGGTCACAGAGATTAAGCGAGGACGGACAGACGGACAGACAGACATGGCGAAACTATAAGGGTTTCTAGTTGACTACGGAACCCTAAAAAGGAACCTATATAGGATCGCTGTTATCTGAATTACCGTTCATCCGTTCATGTTTCAAGACCTTTTTTCCGGAATGAGTAGAGGTATCAAGATGAAATTCAAGCTTTTAAGTCAGTGCAATTAAATGATAAGGTCGTTTATGTCACACATTTTGATACATGTGAATTTACTCACCAAAGCCTTTAGGGTACCTTTCTTCTTTAATCATGACTTTTGGTAAGAAGCAAAGTCTAACAGCAAAAGTAAAAGCAAAAATCAAAAATCGTGAATTTATAGTTATATCGCTTAAAAATAATTTTCATTGAAAACTTACTTATTCAAAAATATAGAGCGTGAAGCAATGTCTCACAAGCTCTAACACAGTTTAAAGATAGTCTAATAGTTGTGAAACACCTTTGATGTCAGCCAGCGATGTTGCCGCTCACGTAGGTATTTACCCGGGCTGCGTGTATGGTAGGGGTTGTCACGAAATTAGGAATAAAATAACTTTGGGTATTATAATACCCATTTATTAACATTATGTGCATACTTAAAAATTAAAAACATTTAATGAACCAGTTCATTACTTAAAACAACAAAGAAAAATTCATATACAAGTGTTGCACTGCCATATATTTTCGTAACACTTTCATTTTATAGATGTTTTCAGTTTTCGATTATTAAATCTAATTATGCAGTGTATTTGCATTCATAAAAAACAATTTTATCAAAAAATGAGGGAAACGTAAGCATGGCCGTCATTTGAATTCTCTACTTAGTGACTCATATAAGTATAACAGTAATTCAACATTATAGATATTATTTTTCAAAAATGACACTTAAAATTAGTGAAATAAGTACTATAAAATAAGCTCGCGTCAACCGCATATATTTTACAGCAGTCTTCTAAGTGTGACGGCTGTCCTATATACGAGTAGTATATTATCTACGGTGATTGGCCTCCACCCTTGCTCTGCACAAGTACATTCGTTACCCAACTGTTAGACTACCTTTAAACTGTTACAATCGTTTATTGGTAGGTACCACATAAAAATATTTTTTTTTTTTTGCGATTACAGACTTTCCTTGGCATTTGGAGCATTGATCATTTTGTCGGTTTAGTATGATTTGGTTTTGGGAAATACTAATCTAGTGAAGAAAGTCTGAATAGGCATTTTTACTCATTATAAGTTTATGTAACTTACCTCTAACTTACTTACATACTTAGTATAATTACATTAAGTAAATCGTTTATTGTTTATTATGTTAAAACAATACGAATTACCACCCAGGGCTAACATCGAAACTTACTACCAAGTGGAATTTTAGTTATGCTCTGAATTTTTTAAGTAAACAAAAATCTTGAATTTTAGTTGAAAATCTCATGGGGCTATATTAATTTTATTAAGAGCAATATAAAAATTACGACATTTTGGAATAATCGTTGCCAGTGTAGTTAAGTTGCACTTGGTTAATTATGCATGTAGATATTTATTTATTCACCCATCTTGAGATATAACATAATACTACTAATGTAATAATATCAGATGTAGGCTTAGGTGAAGTATCAGATAACAAAAATCCAGGCTTGTAAACCAAAACATTATTATGAGAATTGTTGTTCCATCCATTCTATTACAGACCTACATATGTCTACTGCTGAACGTGGATCATTCCCCAAGGAACGCCATAAAACTCGGTTCTGAGTGACCTGCATTAATCAACTTTCTGCATGGCTGATCAAGTCGTCGCTCCATTTAGTTGGGGGTTGAGAATATTCCCTTCCCATCTGTTTTGGGTTTTTGAGCTATGTTTTCAGCACATTGCTACTTAAGCTTGTTGATCCTATGGGCTGAGTCATCCAACTTAGACTAACTTATCTAAGTTAACTAGGATAATAGGATATGTCGGATAATATGATGGAAACTGTTCGTTCATTCTTTACTGTGTTTGTAATAATATAATACTTTTACCGATTTGATCGTCGTACTGTAAAGCAATATTTTTTGTATTGGGATATTTCGCAAATTTGTTCTTACAACGAATGTATTGTCACCTCACGCTTTCATGAAAACACTACGGCTAATTTTAAGGCTAAAGAAAAAGATTAAGCATATATTCTTACAGTGATCTACAGTGTTCATTGTCTCCGAGAACAAATTATGCAAGTCGTAAATTATAGATAATGGAATGTCATATTCACGATTGCTTTTGATTTGATGACCAGAATTGATTGTCATTTGTACTATAAATAAATAGTAATATTCTTGGAGTATGTGATTAAAGGCAATTCAGAGAACATTCAAATATTCTTTCAAAGGAATAAAACTGTTTTTATTATTTGTTTAAAACTTAGTACTTACTTTTATTATATTTATACTATCAATGTTTATTTAACATTGAAACTTAAAATAATAATAAAATGAATCAAGTTGAATCTTCGAAACCTTGCCTGTGCAGGCGAGGGTTATATCCAATTGGTGACCTTTCCGCCTTTTGTTTTCCGGTTGTGATACTTCATTGAGAGCAGCTGTTAGTGTCATTTTTGGTATCTGTAATTAAAATTCAGCTTTAGAGATAAAGGAAAACTGACTATTATTGCGTGTTTCAATATGATGGTTAAAACCGAACTTTATTCGCTCGGGTACTCATCATCAGAACATTTTTTCCTGAATCACTTTTACATCAAATAGTCGTCTCCGAGACTTCACACAGCAACTGTTGTTTTAGCAAACAAAATAATCAGTTGCAACCAAAAAATCTGTAAAACAATAGTAAAAATATCAATGGTACTAAATGTAAAGGACAATGTTACGTGTGATTTTGTTCATTTCAGGTACGAGGACAAGATGCTCACAGGATGGAGACTCGCCCTGTCAAAATGTAAGTTTACTAAAATATAATTTATCTATAAAAAGCTTTATTTTCCCTTTGAATTTAAAATTTTAAAACTAAAAATGAAAAATTTATATTTCGATTAAATGTTTTAAATTCGTGCAAGGTGTTGATTACATAACGAAACTAGTCGTATAAAACCAATTTCATGACATTGACTTTACCATAATTTCACGTGCAGACGTTAAGTTTTATAATGTACTGTGCAATTTCATGAAACTGAGATAGTGTCTTGCCACGCGCAATTTTTGGGTCTAAACAAAAATAATGTCATGCAACTAATTTCACCAAAAAAGGATCGCGAGACTTAGTGTCGCGAAGGTAGTTTGTATAGCTCTTAGGATCTTTATCTGCCAATTCAGAAATTAACTGCGTTGTATCTAGATGCTTTCTTGCCACCCAGTATCGAAACTATCAAAGCCTTTTCTTTCGAGACAACCTTTTTTGATTTTATATAATATTATCAACAGTAAACGACAACGATTTAAACAGAAAAATAAAGCTGTGACACTGACAGGGCCATAATACTCAACGATACTGTTAATTTCACGACACGTTTATTTTGACGAAACACGTTTCACAAGTACTGCAATTCGTTTCATGAAATTAATTGAATCATGCATAACGCTAGTTTTGTTATGTAAATTCGGCTTAAAGGGGATAATTTTGTAGGCTCACAATATATTCTTATTTCTGATATATGATAACTTGTTTTTCACTGAGGATAATAACGCCTGGTTTTTGGAGAGGACAGAATGTACTTTTAATACTTATTAACATGTTTAAATATTTCATACTACCCTCACGATTTAAAAACTTCATATGTATGCTAAATAAATAAAGAATATATTATAAATATTGCTACTATAAAGTGTTATAATCTATGGCGGATGCCTATGTCCAGCATTATACATGGTAGAAATTAAAATTTGTTTCTCTTTTTTTAGTATTTTTCATACCCCAAAGGTACGTCTTGGCTATAATGGCATTATTTGCCATTGCCAATGCGTATACAATGCGAGTGTGTTTGAATTTAGCCATCACACAGATGGTTAAGAAGACAGTGGCGGTAGAAGGTGATGCGCACTTCGATCCGAATGCATGTCCGGATTTGAATGTCGTATCAAATAGTAGTGTAACCGTCCTTCAAAGCTACACGTATAAAAGACAAAACAACGATGTAAGTATCTGTTCACTATTCTAAGTAATTTTATTTCACGTTCCTGGTAACATTAGGGCTATTTATTAAGTAAACTATGCGCAATTATTTGAGGTGATTATAGTATAAAGAAAACCAATAATATAAGGCTTAGATAATATACCACTTAAGGGGAAATAGGGGCCTATGCTACCTCAAATGGCTTAGCAAGATCCTCCGTTATACCGAAAATATTGCAACATTAAACGTAAGCTTACAAACTCTTAAACCTCCTTATAACAAACGTAAGCTCCCTCACTCTCATCATTCCCCAAAACAGTCCATTGATGGGTGCTTCTCCAATGGTAGAAAGAATTTACCGTGATCACCAAGCTCGGCGGGCGATTTGCGATCCAGGTTACGGACGTCTCGCATCCTTGATGCTGCTTCATTCCTTCCATCGCCTTCTAGGAATTTCGGTATGGGGTCCTACCGCTTCTGGTCTTATGATATACCCTAGACGAGAGAGGGCGTTAATATGTTTTCGTAAGTAACCACGATATGGCATATAATTTATGCGCGCCTTGCAATGTTTAAGTATATCATAGCTAGTAAATAGTACTGGATTTAAGAGTCTAATAATGTAAGAAAAATATGAAATTTTTGGAAACTCTTTGTCTTTTTAATATTAATTTATGTTAAGATTATGTAATTTTATTTTGTTAACGACAGTCTGTGCCAAAATACAGAGTAAATATTAAATAACCATTTTAATATATCGATACATTTTGTATTATAATGAGACTAATATTTGTAGTTTGCTTACTTATTTAGCACACATTTTAAAAAGGGTGAGGGTAAAAAGAAAATGACTCGAACACATGAAACGAATGACACATGTTTTTGTACCTAAATGAAATAAATAACATTTAGAGCAAAACTAACTTTCTACCGAAAGTGATTATTATCGTTAACAAAATAAGATTCTGTAAGATAAACCATACGGACGAGTATGAGTGGTATGATTGATGTATAGAGTTATTGAACATTGCATATCTTAATCCCATTTAAATACGATCACTTGAAATAATTTCAAGTATTGATATTTTTGACGTCGCAGTTGCAGCGTACAATGACTCCGCCAACAACATGTGACTTTTTAAATAAATTATTGTTATGCTCCATTTCGAGCACAAAATGCATTAATATATATCCAAATGATAAAATGTGGTACAGTAAATAATGTATCAAAAAAATGAGGGTATCATTTGTTACATTGAATATGTAACAAAACAGTAACACCTTTCAAAATTATCTTTAAAATTGTAAAGACATTCTTTTTATTTTACGAAAAACAAGAAATCTCACGTTCAATTATCACTTTCTCATGTCTTTACATCTGTTGACATTTTACTGTAGTGATCATTTCTATTGAGATATGATGTAAATAGTACTACCGTGGCTGGTTTTCGTAACTTACGACTAAGTGTGTATTTTCTCTGTGAAGGGTTTTCAAGATTCATTTTATTTATTAACAATAAAATAGAGTTGCGATGTAAATGTTTAGTTTACTTTATAAGCATTATTAGCGAAAACGTATAATTCAGTATCGATCACTGAATTGATTTATGACGTATAAAATTTTTATAAAGTAGGCAGCAACTCCTATTCAATGTATTTTGTAATAATGTATTTTAAGCTGCTAGCCACAGCAGCTTAAAGCTGTCTTTACAATTTTAAAGATAATTTTGAAAGCAGCTTAAAGCTGCTGTGGCTAGTCGCTATCTAACGTCGCAAAGTGCGTTCCCGCAACCTTTCGAATAAGAAAAGGCACTGCAGTTAACGTTTGGTTGGAAATTAGAATATCATCATCATCATCATCATCATTATTACAGCCCTTCACAAGTCCACTACTGATCATAGGCCTCCCCCAAGTAATGCCACAAAGCACGGTCCCGAGCCACCTGCATCCATCGACTTCCTGCATATCTTACCAGGTCGTCACTTCATCTAGTGGGGGGTCGCCCTACACTACACCTACCGGTACGAGGCTGCCACTCGAGAACCTTTCTTCCCCATCGGTTATCGGTTCTTCGAGCTATATGGCCGGCCCATTGCCACTTCAGCTTACTAATCCGTTGGGCTATGTCGGTCACTCTGGTTTTACTGCGGATATCCTAATTTCTGAGTCTATCACGCAAAAAAACTCCGAGTATAGCCCTCTCCATAGCTCGCTGAGCAATCTTGAGCGTCCTCATACGGCCAGCAGTGAAGGACCACGTCTCAGATCCGTAAGTCATCACTGGCAACACGCACTGGTTGTACAGTCTTGTTTTCAGGTGTTTAGGTGAAGGTGACGAGAAGATGTGTCGTAATTTACCGAACGCTGCCCAGCCGAGTTGAATCCGTCGATTGACCTCTCGGTCGAAGTTGGACTTACTCAGTCGGACTATTGTCCCAGGTATACGTACTCGTCAACAACTTCGAGCATATTGCTCCCAACAACTACCGGCATAGGTGTGACATGGACATTAAACATGATCGTTGGGAGGCACTATTTAGGTCATTGAGCATAGTGCTTAAGTCCTCCAGCGATTCTGCCATAAGGACTAACTATATCGTCAGCAAATCGAAGGTGAGTGATGTACTTGCCATTGATGTTAATACCGTATCCTTTCCAGTCCAGTAGCTTGAAAACGTCTTCCAATGCAGCGGTGAAGAGTTTCGGGGATATAACGTCACCCTGTCTTACACCTCTCTGCAATTGGATAGGTTTCGAGCTCTGGTTCTGTACTCGGATAGCCATCGTAGCACTACTGTACAAACACTTCAGCACTTCGATATACCGACAGTCAACTTGGCACCGCTGAAGGGACTGTAGCACCGCCCAAATTTCAATGGAATCAAAGGCTTTCTCATAGTCCACATACGCCAGGCAAAGTGGCAGATTGTACTCTTCAGTCTTCTGTACAATCTGCCGCAGGGTATGTATGTGGTATATGGTACTAAAGCCTTTTCGGAAACCGGCTTGTTCGGGAGGCTGGAAGTCGTCGAGTCTGCGTACGAGACGATTCGTAATGACTCTCTAAAACAGCATGTAGACGCGGCTCAGAAGGGAAATCGGTATGTAGTTCTTCAAGAGAGCGTTGTCGCCTTTCTTAAAGAACAAGACCACCGCACTTCTGCTCCACGCCTCTGGAGTAGTGCCACCATGGAAGACGGAGAATTTAAGCGGATTGAAGAGCTTCTGAAGGACTTCAAGTACCGGTGTTCCACCCGCTTTCAAAGCTCCGCTGTAATTCCATCCTCGCTTGGGGCCCTGCCGTTTTTAAGGTGCTGGAGAGCCATTCTAATCTCGCTCAGACTGACGTCCGGGATATCATCGGAATAGTGTTGGGTAAGACTTGCTCTTGGATCGTTACTCACACTTGCGTCTGGCTCCAACGATGATGTGTACAGCTGCCCATAGAACCTCTCAATCTCACTCAAAATCTCAGGTGCCTCGGAAACGATGCTGCCAGACTCAGTCTTCAGCTTTGACAGTTGGCTCTTTCTGGCAGACAGATCTCTGGCAAAGACTTTGGAGCCCTGGTTCCACTCGATCGCTTCTTTAATATGAGCAGTATTAAAGTTGCGTAAATCTCGCCGCATGCATTTGGAGATCTGACTGTTCAGTTGCCTGTATGCTGTCAAATCTGTTGACGATTGCAGCCTCGTCTCCCGTCTAACAGCCATGAGATTAAGACTGCGATCGAAGAGTTTTTGTGTTCTTCTGCGGCGGGTCTTGCAGAACTTAGCTCCAACCGCATGGACAGTTTCCACGAACTTGTCATACATATCGTCCACTGCATTGCAATCTTCTAGGCACTGAAAGCGGTTACGTAACTCGAGCTGAAAAGTCTCGGGATTCTGGATCAGAGCACGAGGGGGACGGAGCGTTGACTTCATTAGACGAGACCTCTCCAACTTAACGTTAAGGTTCAGTGTGCCTCTAACCATTCGGTGATTGCTGCAGGTTTTCACCTTTGCGATCACTGAGACATCACTGAACAGTTGGCGTCTGGTCGTCATAATGAAGTCAATCTCATTTTTTGTCGAACCGTCGGAGCTCGGGTCGGCTTCCTGTGGGGCCGCTTCTGGAAGAAAGAATTAATCATAAAGAGTCCCTGTTTCTCCATAAATTCAGCCTGCTGCTGGCCCCTACGGTTCCGTTGCCCTACTCCAAATTTCCCTAACTTCAGCTCACCGCCCTCTCTTGTGCCTAGTTTTGCGTTGAAGTCTCCCATCAACACCGTGTAGTGGGTTTTGGAGGAATGCATGGCTTTGGAAATATCCTCATACATTTCCTCCACCTCCTCATCGGGATATGCCGAGGTTGTTGCGTAAACCTGTATGACCTTCAGCGAATACCGTTTGGTGATTCTGAGTATCAGGTACGCGACCCTCGTCGACAGACTCCCAATCTTTACAAAGTTGTTGACGAGAGACTTGTGGACGATAAATCCGATACCTCCTTGGGAGAGATGGTCGCCCTCCCGGTAGTAGAACAAGTTGCCGGACTCGAGGATTGCCGTGTCCTCCCCCTCTCTTCGGACCTCGGATAATCCAATAATATGCCAGCGCAACTTGTCTACCTCTTCTTTCAGCTCCAGGATCTTCTCGTCAGTCCTCAGGTTGCGTGCGTTAAATATTGCCAGGTCGAGTCGTCGTAGGTGGCAACCGAACCTCCACCGGAGATTCTTAGCACCCCCTGCCCCGCCGTTACCATGGTCGCGACCGTAGCCAGGAATAGCGGGTCCGCCGGGGACTGGGGGCCGTCTATTTGTGTAATTGTTCATGGGGAGTATATTGCCATAGTTGCCACGCTTGGCGAGCGGGTTGGCAACCGCAGTTTTTTTGTCGTATAGTTGCTGTTATCAGGAAGATGCTGCTGCCCATCTCCTGCCTGTTTCCCTCTGTCTCCTCTTATGACACCCACGGGAAGATATGGGGTAGTGGATATTCTTGACCGCCACTACACGGCAATAATATATATTATATAAAGTTCTAATTTCTAACCAAACATTGATGTCTTATAAACATCGAAAAGGAAACATTGATGTTTTGCTACAGTATAAATATTGAAGTATTCTACCGATTTCTATATTTTATATACAAAGTGTATTTAAAAACATTTTAAAGCACATACATTTTTTTATTAATTGAAGAATCATTTATACATGTTTGTTTCTTACAAAGCAATGACTTCGAAAATTTGTTTATAAAATCTAAAATCCCATATTATCATTGTGGTTGCCAGGAGGGACCGATACAGGTGGTGACAAACAAGTGATGAGCTGCAGCATCTTCGCGATCACACATTCGTGCTACAACTATAATATAGCTGCAGCGTGGCTCTACCACGTATATAACTGTTTTTGCCAACCCGCATGTCAAGCTTAGCCATTACGACAAATATCCCCACAGTGACAATATCTATAGGGGAGTTCTATGTTTAGCAGTGGCCTTTTACAGGCTGTAATCATGATGATGATCATCTTGCATAAGCCCAATATAAATTTTTACGACAGTCGAGCGTGGAAACATTAAATTTTCAATGTTTTTATTTAAATCATCGATAATGATTTGGAGGAACTAATGTCGATGTTTCGCCCAATCTTCATCCCTTATCGCTTAATGAAGCACATTGCATATTAAATGTTATAGTTTGCCCAAACTTTTCTGTGAAAATGTTTATTTCTTAGATGAACATAATTAAGTTTATTTTAAAATATTTGTATATTTTAACAAAAATAAACACTTGTTTATACTTATCACAACTCTATCTTCTTATTAAGAGGTCTGAAGTACAATGTTTTTTTTGTTATATTATATTGTAAAAAATTTTTCTTTGGTCGATAGATGGTAAAATTTGAATGGAGTGAAGCAACACAAGGATTGATTCTTAGTGCATTCTATTATGGTTATGTCATAACGCACGTCCCTGGCGGAATTCTCGCAGAACGTTTTGGTGGAAAATGGGTGCTTGCTCTTGGTTTACTGTCCACTGCATTATGTACAATAGCAACGCCTGTTATTGTCAAAATAGGTGGAGCAACTGCTTTGTTTACACTTAGAGTTATTGAGGGCCTCGGGGAGGTTAGTAATCATTAATTAATTTACTGTTGCTTTTTAAGCTTATAAAAAATTTAAGTGAACGCAAGTATGACGAAGGTTATGGTTTTTGAAAGAGAAGAAAGTAAAACGATTTGTGAAATAAGAATAGAAGGGTAGTTGATCGAGCAAGTAGATGAGTTTGTATATTTGGGCTGCGTATTCAGCAGGGATGGGAGATATGATAAGGATATAGAACGACGAGTGAATGCGGGAAATAGAGTAAATGGGGCCCTGCACTCTATTGTGAAGAGTTAAAATGTGTCGAAAAAGGCACGTATGGCAATTCACAATGCTGTGTTGGTCCCAACTTTAACGTATGGTTGCGAAGTTGGGTGTGGCAGAAGAAGCACGAGAGTAGAATGAACGTTAAGGATGAATGTTAAGGAGTATGTTAGGGCTGAATCTTAATGACAGGGTAAGAAATTGTGTAATAAGAGAAGAGTGTGGTTTGCAAGATGATGTTGTGACCAGGATTAGGAAAGGAATGCTTCGGTGGTTTGGTCATGTGGAAAGAATGAATGAGGAAAGAGTGACAAAGAAAATTTATGTTGCAGAAGTAAATGGCAGAGTCGGAAAAGGATGTCCTAGGCGAAAATTTATCGAACAAATTGGCGATTTATTGAAAACGGGCCAAATGAGGAGTACCCTTAACCGACGAGCATGTATGCGGAGGTATATGGATGTGAAGGAGGCGAGAGAGGTGTGTCAGGATCGTGCCAAATGGAAGTCTGTAGTCTCTGCCTACCCCTCTGGGTGACAGGCGTGAGTGTTTATGTATTATGTATTATGTAAAAAATTTACAATTTTACACTATTGGTATAAGAATCCACCTTAATGCTCACGCTGTGACAGATTCGCTTACGCCAGTACCATATCGTAAAGTGAGTGGAGTAAAACGTGACTATTAGAAAAATAGGTAACCTTTGAGGGGAGGGAGCCTATATACAGCAGTGGATTTTTGATGTCCCTTAATATGTGTTTGGATGTGTTCTGTACGTCTTATATCGTAAAATATCTTAGAAAAATATCTTGAAATAACGGAAAAGAATGATAGAATATTATCTGATATTTTTTGCGAAAATTGTTTGAACTGAAAGATCTTATGGTTATTAATAAATGGCAGTATAGGGATCTCTTTTAACCAGATAATAATATCTCATATAATTATAATTTACACTCTCATATATATTTATAATTTATGAAATCATTTTTTATAGTGAATAGCAGAGTCGGAAAGGGACGTCCTAGGCGAAATTTTATCTATCTAATTGGCGATATATTGAAAATGGGCCAAATTAGGAGTACCGTTAACCGACGAGCGTGTTTGCGTAGGAATATGAATGTGGAGGAGGCGAGAGAGGTGTGTCAGGATCGTGCCAAATGGAAGTCTGTAGTCTCTGCCTGTACCTCTGGGTGACAGGTGTGAGTGTTTATGTTTATATATGTTTTTTATAGTAAGGGTGATGAACACATAGACCACCTATTAAAAGAGGCCAGAGGGGCTCAACAGAATGTCTCATCACCAGTAAAAAGAGTGTAAAATATAAACTAAAAAAGTTACTATTTTACTTTATGTATCTATTTACTTTCTTTCTTTCTTTCTATTACACCATTTGTAATCATCAAATACACCTGATACATACATTATTTACAAAATCAAAAATATATAACAAAATAGTTCCGTGCCTTGTACTCTGATATAAAATGTCCAACACTAATGTTTAAATATAGTAAAATTGAAAAGCAAAATTAAATTAATTTCAGGGTCCTACAATGCCGGCACTAATGACTATGATTTCAAGATGGTCTCCGAAAGAGGAACGAGCTCGTATGGGAGCTATTGTGTTCGGAGGCGCACAAATTGGTAACATTGCCGGATCGTATATTTCTGGTCTCATAATGCACGAAGGCAGTTGGGAAAATGTGTTTTACATGTTTGGAGGTTTAGGCATTGTATGGTTTATACTGTGGGTAAGTTTGGATGCGATTTATAATATTTTATTTTATGTAATATAACAGATTATATAGATATAATCTATTTTTATACTTTTGAACTTTTCTTTTTATTAGCAACTAGATCTAATCAAATATGTACAATAAACATAACAACAGTCATAAGATAACCTTTTTGTGCATACACCTAAGGTATGATATTCAATTAAGAAAAGAAGTAAATAAATTAGGTGTGCAGGAAGCCGATTTATGGAAGTGCTTTGGTTTATAGTCTTCTGGAAAGGTTTATGTTCAGCTACTACTTCGAAGCGTATCTACTTAATGAATTATATTGCGAGTACATCAAAAATGATATGGTCTTTTTCAATTAACTTCAAGTGCTTTCTACGATATTTTTTTGGTTTTTAAAGGGAATTTAAACAGTTTCATGTAAGTGGTAGTGCCACACACAATCACAATAAACACATCAATCGAATCTGGGGATATTTCATATTTCTTCAAATATTTAAAATTTATGAAGAATTTTCTGATATAGTAAATGGAAGACTGATAGATTATTTTAAGGTCTTTAATAAAATTAAAATAAAACACTTCGTAATTTATTTGTTTTAAATACAAAAGATATTTTTTAACCGCTGTAGAAAACTTAATTGAAAAAGATGAAAAATTTTTATTAATATTGAAAAAATTTTACAAAATCTAATTATTATTATCAGTGTTGCCGCCTCTTATATTAATAACACATCGACATCGACTGTACATACCAAAACCTAAATTGTCAACGTCTTGCTGCGGTATGAGGTACCATGTTCCTTGCAAATGTTCGTTAAGTTGTAGTTCCGTCGGCAAATTTGGCGAAAAATCTCTCAAAGCTTTTAGTTGTCACATGCCCCAGGCATGCTAGATAGGGTTTAAGTCTGGCGATGGTACAGATTAATCTAATACTTGAAATGGTTTTCTCGTGGTTTTGGAGAGCGGCCTTCACCAGCTGTGCCGTATGGGAAAGAACATTATCGTGCATGAGTATAAATTCCTGGCCCATTTGGATTGGTATTTTTGGTGGCGGTATTTTTGTGCAGTGATACTGCCTTGGGTACAAATGAGCTGGATTGGTCCACCAAGACGAGTTCCTGCCCAAACCATGATTGTCCCGCGTTGGTTTGAGTGGACCTCCTGAGGGTGCTGGGGGCGGCTAACTCTCCCTGGAGTTCTATAAACGCGTGTTCTTCGTGAATGCAAATGAAATCCAAGCCGGGACTCATCAGTGAATAACACCAAAGACCATTATTCGTTACTCGATGGTAAATGCTCCCGAGCCCATGAAAGCCGCCGACCGCGATTGCCACGTCGGAATGCTAGAATACGTAGCAGTCTTCGAACATGAAGATAAATAGAATTGTTCGGTTTAAAAATAATCGGGAACGCACTATGCGTCAATCGTCCCGATACCATCCACACCACCTGGATGCTTGGCGGTCTACCACCGTCCGTTTCACAACGAGTTTTCTTCCGCGTACGACCTCTCTGTGGAATAGTTTACCACCGGCGATTTTTCCGGACCGATACGACCTAGGGACCATTAAGAAAAAAACTTACTCCTTCTTAAAGGGCCTGCAACGCACCTGCAATTCCCCTGGTGTTGCAGTTGATCATGGGCGGCGGTATTCACTTAACATCAGGTGAGCCGTATGCTCGTTTGCCCCCTCTTCTATAAAAAAAGCTTTATGCAACCTCTTTCGTACGGTTTGATCTTTTACCAGCAGCTGGTGGTCCTTCCTGGATCCTTTGTAGTCGCTGTGATATAGGTTTGGCTTCTGGCGGTATTTAGAGAAATCAATCCTGCCTCTGCGTTGTAATACGATATCTACACGCGTTTCATTCGACCACATTCCCACTACTGCGATAACGTGACCACAATCTTGATATCACGTTTTGGCTGGTGTGTAGGGCCTCAGCAACGACGCGGGGAATAGCACCATTTTTTAACATGTCCACGGCTCATAACATTTCATGTCGACTCAAATGATGACGTGAAGTTAAATTAAAAAAGAAAAACAATCTTATCTCTTTTCATTAATTTATATCAACGGAACAATTTTAATTTTCCTTGACGTAACAAACTACTAATAAATTTGCCGCCGTATTTTGTTTTTTCTTATGTATTTTTATTAACATTTATAAATTAAAATAATAGAAGAGGTTTCAATCTGTATATGCACTTTTTGTGTAAAATAAAAAAAAATTATACCATAAAGTCGTAAAAAATTTAGGATAAAGGTATCCCTAGATTTTTTTGTTGTGTTTATGTTATGGTTAATCTCGAATAGGTTGACTTGACCGGGGTAGTACCATGATCTTACAGAATACTAGCGTATATCAGAACAGCAGCTTAAAGCTGCTCTGTTTCGTAGGCTAAGTGTGAAGCACGAGAGACCCTTTTTACTGGAAATGTAAATTTGATTCTTAATCGGGGATAAATGTCTATGATCTCCAGCATCTACTTACCATCAGGTGGACTGTATGCATGGTCGTCACTCTCAGTCTCTTAACAAACATATCTCAGGTACGTCATGTGAAAAAGGTGTAAGAATCACTCCACTACAAAACTTCCTCCTATGAGAGCCATAAAATACAACTACAAGACGTGCTCGAAATATCCGATGTCCTTTGATAAGTTAAACATTTCACTTACGCCAAAGGTATGATTTTATCTATACCTAGTATGGTAAAAAAGTAAGAAACGTCGAAGTACGACATGACAAATGCTACAGCGAAAGAAGATAATGTTTAACTGTGGACTTAAACGACCTTTGCTCGAATATAAAAACATATCTGAAGAGATATGAAATCAAAAATAAATTTGAAAGACATGTAAACATTTCCAGTTCCAAAGCACTCAGTTAATAGGAGGGGACTGTACTCTACAGTGCGACATTAAATAGACTGCTGATTTGCTATATATTTTCTGCTGTATCATACAAGATATCCTTTGAGATCGTAGTAGTAAGTAGTAGTACCTAAATATTAACAAAAATACTTTTAATTTTCAGATATTGCTTTGCTTCAGTACACCAAATTCACATCCATATATATCAGACAGTGAAAAGGAATTTTTAAATAAAAACGTTGATTCCTTGATACACAGTAAAAAACAAAATTTGGACCCTGTACCATGGAAGGCATTATTAAGATCAGTTCCTCTATGGTCTCTCATCATAGCCGCTGTAAGTAAAAAATACCATAACGTTATAGAAATACTTTTTGTTTGAATTTAAAAAAAATGTTGTATAACTTGACCTTCTTACGAGCCTTACAATATAAGTGATAGTTTAAAGGCTTATGTTGGATGATAAGATCTTACGTCACTTGAAAAAAATTGACCTTGGAAAATAATATAATTTATCTTAATGCTACCTCCGTATAAACTTTATCAGTTACCTCCCAGTAACACAGGATAATATTATCATTTTCAATGAGGTGGTAGATTATTAAATCTACTTGAAAAAATCAGTTACTATTTGTTCTTGTGGATGTCCTTATATGACTCTGAAAGTCTAATATGGCTTTTAATAAAATAAGGGAGACAAACGATTCCACAGTCCACCTAATGGTGAATGAATACTGCAACAGTGTATCTATTAACATCTACATCTATTCCCGATTAAGAATCGAAGTGAGGTATCACGCCTAAAAACTAAGATGAAATGTTTCGTTATCAGAAAAAAGGATCTCCTGTTTTCTACACTCATATTCAGAAACACAGCAGCATTGAGCTGTATTTTTAAGCTGGTGTTCTGTGAGAGTTTGGTGCTTCCTAAATCGAGCCGACCCATTCGTACCAAAACAATAATATAGCTGCAGCATGGCTTTACCACGGGTAAACATCATAAACAATGGTTAAGTAAATGCCAAGGTTGATGATTGGCCAGCTGTTGCCCTCCCCTCCATCTTGAGACGTTGTCCACAGATGACAATAGTAACTTACCATCAAGTGAGCCGTATGCTCGTTTTCCCCCTCTTATACATAAACTAATGGAATTTCAGCAAAGACGATTGTCGGTATTTTTATGGTGGTTGCGTTAGGGTATCTATCACCACTGTTTGTCGCTTTTTTGGCGCTGGAAGAGAATGTCTACAGGCAATAAGTCCGCCCTTTGTAATACTTTTTATTAAAGTGTAATAAAATGTAAATAAATAAAAATAAATCCACTTACCCCATTTACCCTATTTCTAAAATATCCAGACCATTGATGGATAGCAGTGTTAAAATATGAGCCCTCTGGTAAAGCGATTTTCCTGCCCAGGTGATTAAAGCAAATCCTTTATACTAAGAGAAAGCCCAACTTTCTGTTATGGTTTTTTACGGGCTGGTGAACACAGCAAGCAAGCTATGGCAAGATCAGATGAGGCATGCACAAAGTCGTTTTAGGTTGTAGAGGATAATGCTTTGTAGCTGGTATTGGGGAAAGTTGTATGTTGATGTAATAATATGTAGTATAATTCATTTATTTACAGATTGGACACGATTGGGGTTACTTTACAATGGTCACAGATTTACCAAAGTACATGACTGATGTCCTTAAATTCAATGTTAAGTCTGCCGGTCTGCTATCTGCTGTTCCGTATTTGGCGATGTGGATCGCTTCATTCTTCTTTGGACTCCTTTGCGACTTCTGTGTAAAGAAAGGCTATCATAATATTAAAAATGCTAGAAAAATTTATACCACAATTGGTAAGTACCATGTGTAACATAGTAAAAAAAGGAAACGGTTGTATATATATTTTTTATAATATATATATATATATATATATATATATATATATATACTTTTAGACTCGGTAGATGGCGCTGCAGCCATGCGAAGCCAGTGCGGATAGCTAGCCTATAAAAATCGATAGCTGTCCGTTAGTCTCGCGAAAATTGTAAACTAGCTCGACCGATTCTGATGCTTTTGTCGAGATGCGGAAATCACCCATGCGAAGCGCGGGCGGAAGCCATATAAATATTTTATAAATTCTCCTATTCACCGCCTAACTCCACCACTCTCATATTCTCTTTCACCGCCACAGCGCGTCCTAATTTTATAAGTAATAATATAAGGTCGGGGAAAAAGTTTCTTCGTATTTTACATGACAAGACACTTTTCTTTCAAACTTTAATTAAATTTGATTATAATATATATGTGACTCATAATTCCGTTGCTGTAGAAATCTTGGGATTTTTTATAAAAACAATGTGATGAATAGTTGTAACCGTTTTAAGTGCCGTGTAGTGGCGGTTGAGAATATCCACTATCCCATATCTTCCCGTGGGTGTCGTAAGAGGCGACAGAGGGAGACAGGCAGGAGATGGGCAGCAGCATCTTCCTGATAACAACTGTGATATAATAAAAAACTGCGGTTGCCAACCCGCTCGCCAAGCGTGACAACTATGGCAAATATCCCCCCATGAATAACGACGAAAAAAAAACGGCCCCCAGTCCCCGGCGGCCCCGCTAATCCTAGCTACGGTGGCGACCATGGTAACGGCGGGGCAAGGGGTGCTAAGAATCTCCGGTGGAGGTTCGGTTGCCACCTACGACGACTCGACCTGGTAACATAAAACGCACGCACACTGAGGACTGACGAGAAGATACTGGAGCTGGAAGAAGAGGTAGTCAAGTTGCGCTGGCATATTATTGGATTATCCGAGGTCCGAAGAGAGGGGGAGGACACGGCAATCCTCGAGTCCGGCAACTTGTTCTACTACCGGGAGGGCGACCATCTGTCCTAAGGAGGTGTCGGATTTATCGTCCACAAGTCTCTCGTCAACAACGTTGTAAAGATTGGGAGTGTGTCGACGAGAGTCGCGTACCTGATACTCAGAATCACCAAACGGTATACGCTGAAGGTCATACAGGTTTACGCACCAACCTCGGCACATCCCGATGAGGAGGTGGAGGAAATGTATGAGGATATTTCCAGAGCCATGCATTCCTCCAAAACCCAATACACGGTATTCATGAGAGAGAGATGAGAAAGCGGTGAGCTGAAGGTAGGGAAATTTGGAGTAGGGCAACGGAACCGAAGGGGCCAGCAGCTGGCCGACTTTACGGAGAAAGAGGGACTCTTTATGATGAACTCTTTCTTCCAGAAGCGGCAGAAGGCAGAAGTTCGACAAAAAATGAGATTGACTTCATTATTTATTATGACGACCAGACGCCAACTGTTCAGTGATGTCTCAGTGATCGCAAGGGTGAAAACTGGCAGCGATCATCGAATGGTTAGAGGCATACTGAACGTAAAAGTTAAGTTGAAGAGGTCTCGTCTAATGAAGTCAACGCTCCGTCACCCTCGTGCTCTAATCCAGAATCACGAAACCTTTCAGCTCGAGTTACAAAACCGCTTTCAGTGCCTAGAGGATTGCAATGCATTGGACGATATTAATGACAAGCTCGTGGAAACTGTCCAAGTGGTCGGAGCTAAGTTCTGCAAGCGAAAACACCGTCACGCTCTTAATCTCATAGCTGTTACACGGGAGATGAGGATGCAATAGTCAACAGATTTGACAGCATACAGGCAACTGAACAAACAGATCTCGAAATGCATGCCGCGAGACTTACGCAAGTTTAATACTGCTCGTATTAAAGAAGCAATCGAGCGAAACCAGGGCTCCAAAGTCTTTCCCAGAGATCTGTCTGCCAGAAAAAGCCAACTGTCAAAGCTGAAGACTGAGTGTGGCAACATCGTTTTCGAGACAACTGAGATTCTGAGTGAGATTGAGAGGTTGGAGACTGGAAGTACGGAAGTGTGAGTAACGATCTAAGAGCAAGTCTTATCTGACACTATTCGGATGATATCCCGGACGTCAGTCTGAGCGAGATTAGAATGGCTCTCCATCACCTTAAAAACGGCAAGGCCCCGGGCGAGGATGGAATTACAGCGGAGTTTCTGAAAGCGGGTAGAACACCGGTATTTAAAGTCCTTCAGAAACTCTTCAATTCCGTCCTCCATGGTGGCACTACTCCGGAGGCGTGGAGCAGAAGCGCGGTGGTCTTGTTCTTTAAGACAGGTGACAACACTATCTTGAAGAACTACAGACCGATTTCCCTTCTGAGCCGCGTCTACGTGCCGTTTTCGAGAGTCATTACGAATCGTCTCGCACGCAGACTCGATGACTTCCAGCCTCACTAAAAAGCCACTTTCCGAAAAGGCTTCAGTACCATAGACCACATACATACCCTGCGGCAGATTGTACAGAAGACCGAAAAGTATAATCTGCCACTTTGCCGGGCATATGCGGACTATGAGAAAACCTTTGATTCCGTCGAAATTTGGGCGGTGTACGTCTCTTCAGCGGTGCCAAGGTGACTGTCTGTATATCGAAGTGCTGAAGTGTTTGTACAGTAGGGCTACGAGGGCTATCCGAGTACCGAACCGGAGTTCGAAACCTATCCAACTGCAGAGAGATGTAAGACAGGGTGATGTTATATCCCTGAAACTCTTCACCGCTGCATTGGAAGAAGTTTTCAAGCTACTGGACTGGAAAGGATACGGTATTAACATCAATGGCGAGTACATCACTCACCTTCGATTTGCCGACGATATAGTCCTTATGGCAGAATCGCTGGAGGACCTTAGTACTATGCTCAATGATCTCAATGGTGTCTCCCAACGGATAGGTCTTAAGATGAACATGGACAAAACAAAGATCATGTTTAATGTCCACCTATGCCGGTAATTGTTGGGAGCACTAAGCTCGAAGTTGTTGACGAGTATGTTTACCTGGGATAAATAGTCCGACTAGGTAAGTCCAACTTCGACCGAGAGGTCAATCGACGGATTCAACTCGGCTGGGCAGCGTTCGGGAAATTACGACACATCTTCTCGCCAAGTATACCTCAATCTCTGAAAACTAATGTGTATAACCAGTGCATGTTGCCAGTGATGACTTACGGATCTGAGACGTGGTCCTTCACTGCTGGCCGTATGAGGACGCTCAAGGTCGCTCAGGGAGCTATGGAGAGGGCTAAGCTCGGAGTTTCTCTGCGTGATAGACTCAGAAACGAGGATATCCGCAGTGAAACCAGAGTGACCAACATAACCCAACGGATTAGTAAGCTGAAGTGGCAATGCACCGGCCATATAGTTTGAAGAACCGATAACCGATGGGGAAGAAAGGTTCTCGAGTGGCAGCCTCGTACCGGTAATCGTAGTGTAGGGCGACCTCCTACTAGATGGAGTGACGACCTGGTGAGATATGCAGTAAGTCGATGGATGCAGGTGGCTCAGGACCGTACTTTGTGGCATTAGTTGGGGGAGGCCTATGTTCAGCAGTGGACTTGTGAAAGGCTGTAATGATGATGATGAATGATGAATAGTTTTCAGTCGAATAGTCCTTTCTTGATGTTAACGTAACACTACCTTAACTTAATTCTGAAGAGAACGAAACATGAAGAGAACGAAACAGGTGAAAATCTGAGGGTGCAAGGTCGGGACTATATGGTGGATGCATTAATCGACCAACCAAGCTCTCTCAATTTTTGTTAAGTGGCCAAAGATATGTGTGGTTTGGCGTTATCGTCATAAAAGACCACTCTTTATCTGTTGATAAATTTCGGCCGTTTTGTCTCATTTTCTTGCTTTAATCTCATTAGTTGTGGGCAGTAGAAATCCAAATCGATGGTTTTATCCGGCGGTAGAAGCTCATAATCAACGATGTCCTTCCAATATTACCATATACACAGCATCATCTTATTGCATCTTAATCCGAGTTTCGCTACAGTCTGTGGAGCTTGACTACCCTTTACCGTGATCTCTTTCGCACGTTCTTGTCGTAGGTGATCCACTTTTTCGTCGGCAGTGTTCAAACTTTTAAAAATGGTACGGTTTCATTTCATTTCAATAGAGAGTCGCAAATGAGTACACAATTCGTTAGGTTTCTCTCATTGAGATCGTGTGAATCCCTAATTGAATTTTTTGTATAGCCAAACTTTTTCAAATGGGTCAAAACTGTTATGTGGTCAATTTTTAGTTCAAAATTCCTCGGCTATATCGTAACTAATAATATACCAATTTTGCTTCAATTTTTCAAAAATGGCATCAACTTTATTCATATGGGGGCAACCAGGGCGATCTGTATCTTTGACATCAGAATTCCTGGACTAAAAACGCTTGAACCAACTATGTGCTACTCTAAAAGCTGAGGATTGACTCGCACTATTTACATGCAGTCAGTAGTTTTCGTAACTTTTTTAGGGTGTACGCACGTTATTGAAGTCCGTGAGAAAACATGAGTTCACGGAAACGCCAGAATTGACAAAGAGATATCTAAAAAGAAAGGACTTTGGATAAGAAAACATACATTATATAATTAAAATAAATACATCATGCATGCTTTCAGTAATAAGAATTCTCATTCTCATTTACTAATCTATATATTTTATAATTGCATGATATGACGCGACGTCACCCTACAATAATACGGCAGCGAGTAGCCAAGCCAAGCACTGACTTGGTCGTTTAGACAAGGTCAATATCGCTGGCGCGGGTAGGGTAGTGGACTGAAAGTATTCAAGCAGGAATATTGAAGTCAGCACTGGTGTGACAGAGCTGCACTGACTCCAAATCAATTTACATTATGCCAGTAGAGGGTCAGCACAGACTTGCCTTAAATCTGGTGCCAGTTACCTGTGTAAATCAACCATTACTGACAATGTATTAGGACTATAAACGTCACAATTCGTAATAAATCTTCAGAATGTATCGAATTTCTTCCTTAGGTTCACTAAATTTGGCGCATAGAAAAGCAATTGAAAATGGCGGAAAATTGTTTTTCTTTTTCTTAATATACTATATGTCGTAAACAGGTAAGCCTATAGACTAATGATTAGCGTGGCCTCGAGTGAGAAATGTTGATAACGTAGTTTTAGGTTATACAATAATCTTTATGACTTTTAAACATATTTAGATAAAATGTAAACGTATATTTATATAGTTCTGTAACAAAATTTAAAATAATAATTGAATTTTATACGTAAAACTAGATAAAATGTACTATACTTACGAGTGAAATGACATATCGGTGAGTTTACGTTCATTATCACTTTTACGTCCTAAAACACTAGATCTAACCATTTTTAAAGTTTTTAATTGTTCTAAGAACTGAACTGAACCAGATTCACCAATCTTAAGCTCACAAAACACTTTTTTTCCCGCTTAAACCAACTTACAAACTCGTAAAACTACGAAGTCAAAGTTGTTTAGCAAAGTGTAGTTTGCTAAAGAAAAAAACCGGCACGGTGAAAGGGAAAAACAATCACACCGCTCTTTTACATTTCTATGCAAGACGTATACATAAATGTATCTTTTTCGTGTGCGAATGCAAAAGAAGGCGTCAATTTGTCTATAGGTTTCTCTGTCTACGCTATATGTATTGGGGTTGACTGGCAGAGAATGCCATAAGGAATTAAATCCGCCCTTTATATCCCTTAGTATATAAGGTGTATAATAAAGATTAAATAAATAAAAAATATATAAAAAATAAATAAAATATGAAAACCAGCCAGATACAAACAGTACAACCAAAGAGATTTTTCTTTAATTTTATACAAACAAAATATGAAGAAACTTTTTATCTGACCTATTATTAAAAGCTTTTACTAATCTTTTTCTATTATGTTATAGCCGCTACTGGGCCAGGAATTTGCATTATCTTAGCTTCCTACTCCGGCTGTGATACTACACTAGCCGTTTTCTGGTTTATTTTTGCAATGACACTTATGGGAGCGTACTACAGCGGTATGAAGATCAATGCTCTCGATATTACCCCTAATTACGCCGGAACTACCACAGCATTAGTGAATGGTATTGCTGCCGTCTCTGGAATTATATCACCGTATTTGATTGGTCTTCTAACTCCAGACGTAAGTATAATTATTTTGTTTTAAAATGTCCTCCACAAATTTTATTTGCGTGTGCTATGCTGTATATGTGTATGCTGTATTAAATATATTTTATTCCTTAATTATACTAATGTCCTTCAGACCGAATTTCGGTCACGGTGGCCAAGCGCTGAGAGTTCCTGGTTTGCGTAGGGCAGGATTATAGTGCATAACTGTACATGCTAGCACAGGTGCACTCTGTATTCCCTTACATTCATGGTACGATGGGACGACAAACCTATACAAATAAAGATAGATCAGGCGTCATCAAGCATGGGTCGAAACATTGCCTACTTTCAGACTGAGCTACCAGCTCAAAAAAAACAATAATTGGCTTTGAAGACACGCGAGAAATCACTGGAAGCAAGTGGCTTATAACCGTGCTTTGTGGTATTCCGTGGGGGAGGCCTATGTTCAGCTGAGGACTTGTGAAGGGCTGTAATGAATAAAGGAATGGAAAAAATCCGAGGCAAACTTTATTCTTAATAATGTTGTTAATAATTCTTAGGCTAAATACAGACAGTTATTTTATCTACCGCTAACGTTATTATTTTATCTGAACACACGTCTTACCCCTGACAACAATTTAAAGGTCAATTATTGGCGTCCGTGGTGTAGTGACTTAGCAATGAGTGGCTGCGCTGGAGGCCACGGGTCCGAATTCCGCACGGAACAAGTATTTGTATGGCATATGAATAATTTTTCTGGGTCTGGATGTTTGTTCTTGTGCAATTTATGTTTGCAAACTGCCTCTACGTACAGGAGAACTTCTTAGTATGGGGGTAACGTTTTTTAAAAGAAAATAAAATTACTACTGACGCTTGAACTATTAATAATACTTTTAATTTGCTTTTAAACTGGTAACTAACCTCGTTTTGTAACAAAACATTAAGCGACGGAGTAAAATGTCGTGATATATTTGCTTTTATTTAAGAAATAACTTAAAAAAATCTAGTTTTATTGAACTTGGCCTTAATGTTTGAATGTCTTATGCTCTATTTTCTTCGGTCTTACTATCTATGCCCAAGTAATGCTTGCGGGATGAAGTCAAAGGTAGGAAGTTATATAGTTTTAGGGACAATGGGACTATACGAACACATCCAGAACCAAATGTCACAATTTGTATTTTATACAGGAGATCCGATTGGAACTCGAACTAGAAATCCACGACGATAAAGCCAAATTGAAATGTTAAAAAAAATTATGAAAATAAAAACATAATTACCATCGCTACGGGAATTGCATATCTGGTAGTACATTGTATACAGTTTGATTAGATTATTAAGATTAATATAAATTATTGGAGTGGATCTCTTTAATGTGCATGTGAAAAGGCTTCTCCTGAGCAAACTCGCTCCCGGGCTAGTTGAAGGTCAAGAGTGAGTCCATTTATAACGCAAAATAATTGTTTTTTTTTTTCGTTCTTTCAGTCAACACTCAAACAATGGCGGATTGCATTCTGGGTTTGCTTAGTAATATTAGTAGTCACAAACATTATATACATTATCTTTGCTAAAGGCGAACAATTATGGTGGGATGACGTTAAGAAACATGGGTACCCAGCAGGCTGGAAACACGGACCATTGCCAACTAAATCAAAAGACTCAGAAAATGAAAAATCTAGTGAAAATTCGAACAAACAGTGATACTATTTTATATTTGTTATTAAAGTTTTAATTTATTTTTAAGGTTATTTATAAAATTATAAAATATTACAGGTTTCGATTTCTTTTCTTACTATTAAACACACACATGCAAATACACACAAACACACACACACATACACACACATATATATATATATATATATATATATATATATATATATATTTATATTATGAGTAATCTGTGTATTGTTACGTTAATTTCAACATTTTTTGTGCCGTTAAAGGCGACAGAGGAAAATGAATTGGACGCAGTTACTCAACAACATTTCAACCCACAACAATCCCATTTTTAGATTATAGAAATTTTGTATTTCTGTGGTACAATTTTTTGTTGTTAGGTGGAGAGGTAATTCTTTTTGGATATATTTGTACATATATTTTTTTAACATTTTTAATAGTAGATATTCTGGTAAAATTGAATTGGAACGTTTTTGAAAAATTAATTTTTGAATGATCATCATTATTCTAAAATAGTTAGGCTAAAACGTTCCAATATAAAATTTTCATAAATGAATTTTAAAAAAAAAAAAACAATTAAAACAAGCAACTAGATTTATTTTTGAACTGACATGTTTGACACCAGTAAGAAAAAAAACAAAAGTTAGTACCTAAGCACCAACATACCAACATACTTTTTAGAATCATAAAAAGACTAAGCTAAATATTTTACAATTTTGAAATTAAATAAATCTTTAATAATTATTAAAATGTCAAATTTTACACAAAAATCTTTTCAAAATAATGGTGTATTAATCTCAAAACATCAATTAAATTTTATTTTAAAAACCCAATGAAAAAAGTGAAACTTAATTATTTTCTCTCATTAGCTTTCTATTGTATAGCCATTAAACTTAAACAGTTTGTAACAAAAATACTTCTCTGAATATAAAATAATTATTATATGAAACTACAATATATTTAAAATAATAGAGGTTTGCTACTAATTTGCAAGAAACAAGAAATTGGTAAGAACCAATATATCTTTTAGGTCTTAAATAAAGAACTAAGCTAAAAAAATCTTCTCAGAAAACTGTTGTTTAAAACTTAAATATTATCTTCATTTACACAAAAAAATATAATTTAAAAAAGACTGAAACAAGAAATAAAATATTTTATATGTAATTTAAAAACCTATTAAAATAAAAAAATTCTTAAACAAAAAAACCTTCTTTGAATTTTATCGTCTATAAAGTCACATTTATCAAAAAATATTATTATAATTAATTTTAAAAAACGTGGTTACTTAAATCTAGAAACTTAAATTTTTTCTTATAAGTTTTCAAACAAAACTAAAACGAAGTAAAAAAAAAAATATTTAAACTAAAACGAAAATCTTTTAAAACAAATTTAAAATCTATTAAAACAAAATTTCTTTCGAATGTTTTCTCCGTCTTATTAAAAAGATTTACACTTAAACAAAAATATTAGTAATAATAATAATCTTAAACTAATAATATCTTCAATTATCTTCTTAAACATATTGAATATGTTTTTCTATGAGTAGAGCAAAAATAATTAACTTTTAGTTCTACAACTTTATAATAAGGGATATCAAAGTAATACAAGAATATGATATGATATAAAGGACTCTAATTTTGATGAAACTTGAAAATAATAAAATACCGGCTATATCATATCATCTTCTACTACTTCAAAGTCGAGAGAGCCACAATACACCTCGACGTCATCTACGATGTCCTCCGAGCTTCTTAAAGGGGGACGCCCATTTTCGGCCATGGAACGCCCAACAATGTGAATTTGTTAAAAAATTATATCTTTATTTATGGTTATTAATCGCGTTATTCATTTATCCTCAAATAATGGGAATATTTTTGCACAAATTAAAAGTACCGGAAACATAATAATAAAAATTAGGTAAATCATTATGTCATTAGTTTGTGAATAAAAAAAAGTGTTGCCAATCACAAAACACATTTAAAAATCGATTCTCTTTTTCGATTGATTATTTACGGTGTCATCATTACAGTGCTAATATAATTTTTAAATAATTATGATGTTACGATAATTAAACAAGCGAATTACTAGCTGATTTCTAATGATTTCTTTAGAGAGTAACAAATGCTACGGCACAATTTAACTGTTAATCTTAACCGATCTTCTTTGAAAACAGATAAGAACTGTTATTCTTATCTGTTTTTAAAGAAGATCGGTTAAGTTATTCTTATCTGTTTATAACAACACATTTAAAATAGAATCATGTTATGGTAACGAAACAAGTTAGTTTCCAGCTGATTTACCATGAATCCTTTAACCTTTTGAGCGCCAAAGTCGCCTATACTTGACCAACACCTGCGGGCCCTGAGCGCCAACGACGTCTATAGTTGACAAAAAACCCGGCTCCGAAAAATATGAAATATAGATATTGGAAAATTATTACAGGTATTTTAATTCTACACTCCTCAAAATAGGAATAACCCAGCAACATGTGAGTATAAAAAACAAGTCTTCTAGAGCCACAAGTACTAAGAAACATTGAACTAATAAAAATGGATTTTTATCTAAGCAAATACTATGTCCAGCACGCCAAAGTCGTCTATGGTTGACCGCTAGTGTCAAACGCGGGAGGCATAGATTTCTTGAAAACTATCCAAAATTCAGCTCAATGGTGTTTTTTTTTCTATTATTATTGATATTTGAATAAAATTAAAGGTTATAAACATAAATCTATAATTAGCTACATGAATAAAAAAATGTTATCAGATTATCTTCGCATAATAAATCTAATATCTTAACTCTAGCGCATCTTTAGCGCGTCATCGAAAATCAGTTCACTGGGCACCGTGATCAAGGATAGACGACACCCTGATGACGTCATAAGTGATTACCGAGAAAAGTAGAGCAATGCAACATGAACGATTCCTCAGAACTCATTCGGATTTTGGAAAGCGTCGATGATGATGAATTTTGATTTTTGATTGATGAATTGAATTTTTGATTGATTGGTGAACAAATATATTTATTTATTCCATGACCAAGATTTTAGTATTACAAGGTGTCTCAAAAGAAAGTTCACATTTAAATCTTTTTTTTAAAAGAAAAGTCTTAGCTTTATTGAAAAAATGTTTATTTTATATTGAAGTACACTGTTTGGGAATTTATTTTTTAAAAATAACATTGTCCAAATGTAAACCGTTGCGCTCTCGGCATTCATTTAGTCGGGCACTAAAATTGCCTATGACAGCTCGGCAGGTAGTCTCCGTGATGGCTGCCATTTCATGACGGATATTTTCTTTTAATTGTGCCAGGGAAGTCGGTTTATTAGCGTAAACTTTTGATTTGACATAACCCCACAGGAAAAAATCCATAGGCGTTAAATCGGGACTCCGTGGAGGCCAATTTATGTCACCTCGCCAGGAGATTAATTTGTTCGGAAAAATTTCTCGAACTCGAGGCAGAGATCTGTTGGACGTGTGTGAAGTTGCTCCATCCTGCTGGAACCATGTTCTTTGGTTGTAACCAGGAAAGTTTTGCAGTTGGGGTACGAAAAACTCGTCTAACATCTCCACATAACGCTCTGAATTCACTGTGAGTGTGCGTCCCCTTCCATCTTCAAAAAAGTAAGGGCCGATAATTCCTCGCGCCGACATCGCTGCCCATACGGTGACTTTGGGTGAATGTAGCGGTTTCTGATGTTTTTGTTTTGGGTTGGTTGCACTCCAGTAACCACAATTTTGCTTGTTTACATGCCCATTCAGGTGAAAATGGGCTTCATCGGAAAACAAGATGTTGGTGAACGTTGGAAAGCGCTCAATCATCTGATTTACAAAGGCAAGCCTCTGACCAGCATCTTGAGGCTTCAGTTCTTGCACTAACTGAATTTTGTACGGGTGCAGCTTTAAATCTTTGTGTAAAATGCGGCATAATGAAGATCTGTGCACATTTAAAGCAACAGCACGCTTCCGAATCGAGAGGTTTGGATCATCTCGAATAGACTGAGTAACACTGTCCACGTTTTCGGCTGTTCTTGATGTTCTTGGTCGCCCAGATTTTGGTTTCTCCAGAGTTGACCCAGTCTCTTCAAACTTCTCAACCCATTTTGCAATGAGACGAGTGCTAGGCGCATCATTTAAGTGACGAATATGTCGAATACTGCAGAATTTTCTACGCGCTACAGTCGCCGAATTACCGTTTTTGTAAAACTCACGTACGCACAACGCACGGTCCGCACCAGAGAAACGCTCCATAGCGACTAAATTCCCAAGAGCCAGACTACCGACTGACATACCCCCCCGCGCCCCTCAGAATAGTTGCTTTCGCGTAATAAGATAAGCAAATGTGAACTTACTTTTGAGACACCTTGTATAAGGCTGATTTACCTAGTGCGAATAATTATATACAATTGTTGATTAATGAATAATTATGTACCTTTTTTAATAATAATACAAAATTACAATTAATGTTTTTTACTTAGGGTGTGAAGAGCAATTTTTCATTTTGTGTTGTGCCATTTTCTTTCTCAGTCTCAAAATCATCTAGCAGCATCAGCATCATATCAAATCCCCATTGTCATAAGAGTGTAAGACTTTTCTTCTGTGCGTCACTTGGCCTACGCCTTCCCCGACACATAAAATATTATGAATCGATGTCTGTATATTTCGGTTAGATCGATTTTGAAATCGATACACAACATTCTAAGAATGTTTCAAAAGGGAAGGTCAGCTACGCCGTTGTCGTCCAGTCGCGACAGTGTCGTCATTAGGATGGAGAGTAGTGCTAATGTTTACTGCTATTTTATTGTTATTGTTTGTTTTTTATTTATGTTTATATGTACAAAGTACATATATAAAAAGAGTGGAAGACGGCACAAGATTAAATAAAACATACAGTTTATTAAGAGTCATTTATAGCATAAAAAACCAACAAAAACAAGTTATTTCACGTTATCGATATATCAACTCTTGGCAACACTATTTTGTTTTGGCGCTTTGGCGTACAGGACACGGTAATGCGTTTTTGGC